ATAATAATAATAATAATAATAATAATAATAATAATAATAATAATAATAATAATAATGTCCAAGGACAAATATCTGAGCATATTTTCAACCCAAATGGAGGCTCTTGTGTTTATTATTCCTCAAGTCTTTTTTGCAATGTGCGCAGTTTTGAAAATTGGGGAATATTCTTGGATATTACGTAGTTTGGGGAATATTGGGTCACGCGATGTGTTTAGATCAACCGCGAGTGACCGTAAATATTTGATGGATTATAAGGTCTAAGTTCAGTCAAATGTTTGGAATCAAGCATTTAGCGAAGTGATCAGGTCATGACTGAGGAAGAGTAATAAGATTATAACATTTTAGCCCAAGTGAACTTGCACTATATGGTGTCAAAACACCATGTTGTGATGATGATGATGATGTTCAAGTGAATGGAGAAGTGATTTATTTATTTTCTATTCATTTTTTGATTGTGAAAGCAATTAACCTGAGTATTATTTTGTTTGTTACGAACTGTTTGCCACCCTCTGGAAAAAAGCTAGACTTGAGCCCCCCTACCCTTGGAAATTTTATCCTCTGAACCCCCCACTCGGAATTTTCAGCAACCTTCCATTGGGGGGGTATAGATATTTTCTGGACCTATGCATTTTGATTCAGAAACGTTAGTGTGAATGGCTTGGCCTGCATGGTAATAGCTATGAAATTTGGCTGAAATTCAGTGACACTCTTGTTTTATGAAGTACCATTCACTTCAGTGGGGAACTTCCATGTTCATAGATCAGAAGAAATAATGTGATAAAAAAGCATGGTCATGTCCATTTTAAGTGATATTTTTTAGGGGTCAGATAAAGCTCGATCCACACCCAGATTGGCTTCCTTTACATATTAATGCAATTTTTTCTGACAAGCCTGTCTAGCCTGATGTGCATGTGGAAGACCCCTGCCCAAGATATTTTAGTGAACTTCAATTTATCTTTTTGTTCTATGCAAAAATAGCTGTCTTTCTGAACCTCTTGAATGGAACTGGTAATAATAACTTGGATCACATTTGTTTTATTATCTATGAAATGTAGTCTGGACCCACTTTTACTGCACCTTTATTTCAGAACAATTACATAATAACATCTCTGTATATGTACTTGGAACTATCCCTTGTTGCAACTGCATGATAACAGTGTGTTCCATATTCAGTTGAACCTTACCTTTCATAAGAAGGGTTGGTGAATAGTTCTTCATTCTCAACAAAATTTTTGAAGAATTTAATGGGTATAGCAGTCTGGATTTTTTTAGCAGTTATGTGCGTCTTATAGTCTCAATTTTTTCACCAAGCTATCAGTTCTTCAGAAATTAAAGACAATGGAACTTTTCAACTATCAGCCCTTAATGTTAAAGCAGTTGCCTACAGAATTTCATCTATAGTATTTTTGACAAGTAAAATTATGGTTTCTTGGAACTAAAGTGTTTGTTCATCAGGTGGTCACTTGCAAGAATTGGTGACAACCAGGTTCTACTGTATTAACATGGTTTATATTATCATTTAGTATAAATCTACTAATGTTCTATCACGAATGCCATTCTCTAATTGGCTATGCTACTCACTATCTATTTTGTGATAGTGAGTAGCATGGCAGTGTGAGGTTGCTAACAAAATGATGGCTGCTGCTTGGCGTTTTCAAAGTGTCTGTGGAGAGGATTTAGATAAAGTTTGGAATGACTAGTAGATTTATACTAGAACAATTAGATCATTCACTCTCGATTTCTATGCGCGCAATAGAAATCTCGAGTTCATAATCCAATAGCTTAGTAGCAGTGAATTGATAGCATTGCACCCAATTATTTATTAGCTCTATTGCATAATCTGTGTAAATTTTCTTTATCTCTAAGTATCATTAAGAACAATGGAGGAACACCACCCCTTACATACAAGAAATTTCTGGCTATTATACGTTCCTTGGGTCCCCCAGAGCATCCTGTCCCAACGCTTGATGTGCAGTTATTAACAGGCTGCAGTATGCCTGTCTCTGAAGACCATGAGGAAAAGTTTGGGGTGCCATCTTTGGAGGAATTAGGCCTGGATATAAAGAATATTCCCGTAGAAGTCTGGCATGGAGGAGAAAAGGAAGCTCTTGTGAGACTTGACAGACACTTGGAGAGAAAGGTTAATAAATCATACAATAGTAAATTTTATTTCTTTTGGTTGTGGGGGTAGATGAGTTTATAGATTGGTGGATATGTTTTAGGTCAATTTGTTCTTTGGGTCAGAATGATTTCAGCCTAGGTAATATAATTTGTGTCAAAGGAGAAGGGGAAGTCTGGGACCAATAACTTATTAAACCAGAAATTTGAGCAAATTTGCAATCATAGCTTGTATGGCCTAGTGGAGAGGAAGGTGTCCATTGTGAAGATCTGTCAAATATTTATCTCAAAGCTGTCAGCAATCAGCAATTTAACCAATCAGATGATGATACCAGATTCTGGTATCATGGAAATGGCAGCATCAATAGAATGTCTACAGGCTCCACTGACCTGACCCCCTTGCTTCGCTTGTGGAATTCTTTTTTTTTTATGCTTATCATCTCACACTGCTCGCCAATTATTTTTTGGCCACTGCCGGGAGCCTGTTTGCAGGCAAAGGATGTTGAGCCTAAACTTGAGACTTACAAAGTCAAAGCAGGAATGTAGCATAACAAAGGTGTTAATGAGCAGAATAGTTTTATCCTGGAGACCTAATTCGGATCTAGACGCAACAGACACAAAGAAGTAGGATTGTACAGGAGTTAGTCAGAGTGAAAGTGAAAGGTGACATCAGAGCTTCCTAAGTGCAAACTGAATGGATGATTATGCAGAAGAAATTAACCGGATGACACCTTAGGTGCACTTTTGAAACAATGTGCAGCTGTAGGTTTGAAACAGTGCTGCCTCCAAGACCCAAACCACCTAGCTCTCCAAATCCGTCTGACAATTAAAGTACCAAGTGTCACCTGCCACTCTGGGTACTCATGAGGGTCAAGAGGTACAACCAGCAACACCAGTGCAGAGGTCCATTTTGAAGAGACCTTGCCCCCTGCACAAAGCAGCCCAAGGAGATTACTACATTGGCAGTAACAAGAAGTGGATGAACTCTCTGATGCCCTGCATGCTTTGCACGCCAATTGTCATATGTTATGTTATCAAGAGTAAATAGACAAGACAAGGTGTCTTATTAGTAAAATGGGTACTGTAGGGTAGCTCAAGCTGCTGCCAGTGTTAGTGTGGGTAGGTCAATCATTGAGCGACATGCAGGTATAATTGCGTTAAATAAATTAATATTAAAATATACTAATAAGTAATCATTGTGGTCCTAATTGGCTAAGGTTGCTGCTGACTGTTTTGCTGGAGTTTTGAACTGTTTACCTCCTCATTGACATACAGGGGCAACATGGTTTACTATATATTTTTTCTTCCTTTTGAAGGCTTGGATAGCAAGTTTTGAAAAACCAAAAGTCACTCCAAACAGCTTGTTCCCTAGTCCAACAGGAGTAAGTCCTTACCTGAGATTCGGATGCCTGTCACCAAGGTTGTTCTACCACAGACTTACAGAACTTTACAGAAAGGTAAACTTAAATCATGCGTGCAGTCATTGAAAACCCATGAGCTTATAAGCCCCCTTATATTATGAAGTTGCCAGCTTATTTAGCAAATTACTTATGGTCACCCACTTGATATTATTTAATTATGGACAGTTTTGTTTGTCTCAACAAAATTCTCATATTTTCTCATGTAAAGACACCTGTTAATACAGACACCGGTTGACATGGACAGCAAACACTTTAATATGACCCAAGTGACACTCTCTGATCTCATGAATACAAAGTTAAAACCTTACTTCACAGACACCAGCTATCTACAATCGTGCACTATCTTAATGCTCCATATTTCTGTTTGTCATGATATATTGATTGTATCTGGTTAGAAAATGACAAATGAAACTTGCTAAAGCTAATTAATTTTAGCTCACATGATTTTACTACAAAATATACAATACTTTAGTATATTGACAGCATTGCATGTTTGATACTAAGTTGTCTTTGCTTTAACTGTGCTCACACGACAGTTTGACTTCCTTGGTATTTTAGACATGCAATTACAGTGGTTACTTGTAGCCTTTGTTGTTGTTTTGATAACTGTTGCTTTTAAATTATATGCTTTAGACTTTGATTCCATATATAAAAACATGTTCCTGTAATGTCTATTTTGAGTACCCATTTAATATTGACACCTGGGCAATAGAGACATTTTTGTGTGCATGCTGACTGGTTTCCAAAGTAACTGGGTTCCTCTGTATACATGTTCTTCATCGATATCCTGGTCAAAGTTAATAACAGGAAAATGTATTTGAAAGAGAACCCTGCAATAGATAAGTACAGTCGAACCTCTCCATATGGACACCCCTCTAATAACGACACCTCTCTAATACAGACAGTTGCTTATATGCTGACAAAATTCTCACCCATTTCCTCTAAAAAAGCCGTCTATATTTGGACCCTCTCTAGAACGGACAACGGACACTAAATCTCGGTCCTTAAGGGAGCAAATTTGTAAAATTTAACCTCTTTATATTTCATGGACACTCCGGGGACTAGGTGTCAATAATTTGCAGTACGTACCATTTCCTTTCGGCAGTTACACTAACATTGACACTTTATCATTCAGCGATACCAGTACCAGAACATCTCAAAATGTTAGTTTTCAAATTTACATTTACAAATGCAAATTTGTGTACAGCATGTAACTGAGCAGTACAATAAAGTTAATCAATTTATATATTAGATTCAGAAATTCACAAGACACTCACTTTTGAGCCTGATTTTAGTTACTAAACACACTAAACTGTTATTGGAGTCTTAAAAGTGATGTCATTATAGTGACCTCTCCAATACAGGCACCTCCCTAATACAAACTCTTTTCTGTCCCTTTGGTGTCTGTATTTGAGAGATTCGACTTAATGAACTTCTTGTATCAGATTATAAAACAGCTTTTCCTAGTCTATTTACACTTGAAATTAGCTATTAATATAAGGGTTTGTATCTGTTGGCTAGTCAGAACTTACTGGTTTATTAAAGAACCAAACTGATGATTTCACACTAATTTTCAGGTCAAACTTGGTGAACCTCCCATCTCATTGTATGGCCAGCTTTTGTGGCGAGAATTTTTTTTCACTGTGGCTGCCAACAATCCACACTTTGACAGAATGGCTACAAACCCTATGTGTCTACAAATACCATGGAGAAAAAGCCCTGAGAGATTACAGAAATGGGAAGAGGTATGAATCCCATCAAATTTGAATTGTTTTTGCAGTCTTGATGAGGACGCACTGTCTGGCTAGTCAAGAGGCAGTGTTTTTGGCTGTTAGTCATAACATCCTCTAAAACAGTGTATAATTTATTAATAACACATTCCAATAGATAAACCTATTAGATTTGATTTTTGTAATAATGATTTATAAGCCTTGTGCCCAGGAGTGTAAAACTGCTAAACACGCTCTTATTTCCTGAATATTTCTGTACAGGGAAAGACAGGCTTTCCATGGATCGATGCTATAATGGTACAGCTGCGGCAAGAGGGATGGATCCATCACTTAGCACGACATGCAGTTGGGTGCTTCCTTACAAGAGGAGACCTTTGGATAAGCTGGGAAGAGGGCATGAAGGTAAGTTACAAATTATGTTTATATGGTACATTGTGTCAGCAAGTGGGGCTTTACATTTCCTTATAAAAATTGGCAAGTTGGCAGACCATAATTTCATAAGCTTGCAACAGATTCTTATGAAAAATCAAGTAGTGAGGCTTACATTTTGTTTAAATGAGAAATTTGGAAAAACTGTGACATTGGTAGAAAGAAAGAGTCCATTCGGATGAGGCAAGGATCTGAAAAGCGAAGAGTTTGATGATAATTAAACTGGAATCTGTGGAGAGTCTGAGGATGCATGACTGAACCCCCCCAAAAAACTTCTGTTGGGAGGGTATGAATGTTTTTATTAATATCATAATTGCCTTTGTGTTCAAGCTGAGTTTTGTGATTACAGGTTTTTGATCGGTGGCTTCTTGATGCCGAGTGGAGTCTGAATGCTGGTAATTGGATGTGGCTCTCGTACAGTGCCTTTTTTCAGCAGTTCTTTAACTGCCTATGTCCAGTGGGGTTTGGAAGGAAACTGGATCCAAATGGCGATTATGTCAGGCTAGTACACATAGATATGATAGGAGTATTTTAAAAGTTTGTAAATTGTAAACCTGATATTTTGGCCCTCTTTAGCATCATCAGCAACTTGTGACCTTGTTCCAAACCCTAACTTTTCAGGGAAACAAGAAACTTGTCCACCACACTATTAAGAATTTTCTCCTTACGTTTTAAATCTATGCTGCTAATTAGTGATACGTGACATCTCCCAGTTGTAGAGAATTGATTCAAGAACTCGCTACAAGAATTATTTACCATAAATAGTGTAGTATTTCAGAAAAGACTGTATGTGGTTTCCGTTCCCCTATATCCCATTCGACAATGTCAGAGAAAGATGACTGTCAGATTAATCTGTACTTGTTAACATTACAGAGAAAGCAGGAAAGGGTCTACACTTAAAACGAATTATTTAAACTATGTTATCTATTATTTACTATTACATCTTGGTATGGTCTTGTAGTGTGTTGTAATTACTTTTTTACAATGATATTTTTACATTATGTAGTAAAACTTTAGCATATAATAATAATTAAAATTATCATTAGACCTTTGTGTAAGCTAACTTCGCCAAAGTTTGCAGGATTGCCACGGTGGCAGTCCAGTTTTGAACGAATCACCCTTCAGATCAGATTTTTGCATTTTTCACAAGTTGTCATTTTTTGAAATGGATTCCACAGGTATGTCTGCCTTTCTGATTGCCTTGTGTTGTGAAGAATGTAATCAGCTGCTCAATTCAGTTTTTGTTCAGAGAACAGATTATCTGTTTTTCGTTTATTGCAAATAATTATTTGTGGTTTTAGGTTGTGGGTTATTTTAAAACTCGGGAACTCTAATTCATATGGCAACTTGTATTTACCCTCAGCAAAAGGGTTTTGTCTGAGTTCTAAATATCCTTACATGCTCTTTAATTTGTAAACACGCGACATAGTTTAAGTTGTACCAAAATTTGGAAAAATTGTGTCACTAACATAGCAAATTCCACTAACTATTTATTGTCATAAAATAAAGGTTGACCACTACATACTAACAATAACCTTTTGCCAATATGTATCACAGTAACTGGCCCATGATACTAATCTGCACAGGTCTTCCTGTCTTTAACATTCCATCAGTTTAAGCTGACGCATACTCACTTTCCTAAGTTTAACCTATGAACAATCAACATTTCCTTCAAAATTACCAAAATTAGTTGCAGTGTCCAAAAGAGGTCAAAGGTATTCAGTTTTTGTTCCTTTTTGACTCTTGACTAATAATTTTAAAACTACTCAATTACAGTTGTTCTTTTTGATGTATTTTTCTCTAAAATAAAAGCAGACATACTAATAAGTTTTCAAAATTATGTCCATGTGGAGAAAAGCTACCATGAATTGTTTATGAAAAATTCACATATATGTTACTTTTTCATAAATAATTTAAGGTGGCTTTGACTGTGAATCCGATTGGCAGAAGTTTCTATTATTTATTAAAACCAAATTATAAAGACAATGTCTGTTTTGTTCTTTAGACAAACATATATTGAAAAGAAAAGCTGTTATTGAGTTATTAAAGGTTATTAGCCTCAAATTGTCAAAACAGAGCTACATTGACTTCTTGACAAATTACAATATCATTATTTTGCATTTGATTTATTCTATTTATGCATGTTTGTGGTGTATACAGTAATTGGTTTTAACCTTGGCGTTTCTTCTGTGTAGTGTGTTTTACTCTAAATTTCCAGACTATTTTGTGCTGGGTATTGGTGTGTTTGTCTGGCTCTCATCCAGACAATCACACTTGAAGAACCATTTTGAACACTAACTAGTTTACTTAACTTTCATCATCAATCTGCATCATCAGGATGTAAAGCAGGATTGAAGTAATCAAAGATGGAACCCATGGTAGACTTGGGCATCGCAGACCACCTTAAAAAATCTGTTCTAAAAGGCACTATTTTGTGAATTGTTTTCAGAAAATACTTGCCAGTCCTGAAAGGATTTCCTGCAAAATACATCCATGCTCCCTGGACGGCACCAGAGAGTGTACAGAAAGCAGCAAGATGTATCATAGGACAAGATTATCCTGCACCTATTGTCGATCACAACAAAGTCAGTCGTGTTAATCTGGAAAAGTTGAGAAACATCTTTAAGGCACTCCTCTGTTACAAAGATTCATGTAAGACATCTGTTACTTTTCTCATTGTTGTAGTTTACCCACTTCTATAAAGTTCTTCTTGCATGCTCTTGACTTAAACACATCACATGATGCAGTAAAAACTGGAGGTCAGGATATCTGGGGATATCCCCTGGCAAGCAGTTATCGTCCCCAGAGTCTAGTACGATAATAAATTATCATGCCACTGCATCTGTGGCTGGTAAGGTCACTTCCAACCTTCAAGGGCAAGGAAAAAAACCCTTTTTCTCTTGTTTGTTTCGCAAAATTGAAGTCAGTCATTTTATCTAATGTTAATAAAAGAAATAGTCTAAAAATCTGAAAAAGCACCTGAGTTACTTATATTAGAAAAATGCAATTTTCAACTAAAATTAATACACTAGGAAGGTGCCATAATCTTGTAAGTGGAGGAAACTGTCAGGTGAATTTTGATGCCTTGTGAATCAAAAAAGCATGCAGCCATTTTGCTCTCACTGTGGCATGACCAATACCCAATAAATTCAAGAGAAGATTACCCTTGGTAGTTTCATGCCTTACCGGCTCCTGACAATCCTAGAAGAAAAACTTACTCAATAAATTATATAATTTTTCATTAACTACATTATTACATATCCTGATATAGTAGTTTGTTAGGGTTTTATTGAAATGAGCATGCATGCGAATTTTTCCTGGTGGACACCTGCAAAGATGGAAAGTAACCTTCAGAAGAAAGATAATAACCATGAAGTATGTGTCCCAGTTTCTATAGGGTTAAGTGGTTTATCTATCTATACTACTCCCCCCCCCCCTAGATTGGGTGCAAGTCCATCACAGGTGTCCCACCCCCACCTTTACCAGTATGTTAGTTCTCCTAACAGATTGGTGCTATATTTAATTATATTAGGCAGAGAGTGCTGGGTAGTGTAAAAGTGAAGTTTCTAGATAGCCACGGTATTCAACAGGGTGACTCAACTTGGGCATTGCTCTTGTTACATGAGGCAAATAAATATAGTCATGAAGTATTAACAAAATTAAAAAAACGTACTGTTTGATCCCAGCAATACAACACAGTGACATAGTTTGCCGTTCAGTGCTTGAACCTTTCTTGGGACCACTTGTTGTAACCAGCAGGCCATTGGACTCCTCAATGCTAAACTTGCAAAAGTAAAAACCACAGCTTTATCATCTTTCCTTTTGACAGTTGCTGTATCTTCTGAGAAACAAGATGATGTACCAGATCGACAGGAAAAGTTGAAAGAGCAAATGTTCCTCTTGGAAGACAAAGAAAATGAATGATCTGTAAGAACTTTCGATGGAGACACCATACCAGCCTTTATTTGTATAAATCTACATTTGAATACAGTTATTAATTAATATTTCACATGAATCTTGTGAAGATCAAGTCCCATTATATGTTAGTGACAGTAACGGTGTCCAACTAATGGTCAGTTTTTTTTAAAATATTGCTCACTGCTTTAAAGGACATGTCCAAAAGATAGATCAGTGCATCTTGGAAAACTAAATAATTCTGTTCGTAGAGAATCATGCGGTCAAATCACACAATTTTTTTTTGTAAGATTTCAACAGAGTTTTGTCATTTGTAATATACATAATATCTTGTAATGCTTTGGAATAAATGTGTGATCATAGTGTGTCAATTTGACTCATTTTTGCCCATAAGTGAGAGCCCCTTAAATGAAGAAATTGTTTAGTGACTTGGTGGCAGCTAATTCAGTCAACAGTCTTACAGTACATTATTAACCCATTAACTCTTGGGATTTTCCCAGGAAAAAAAAACACGCACACACAATTTAACACCACGCTTATGCCAGCAAGTATCTGCCCCTTCTCTCTGTCCAAAACTCCATTTCAAAATGGAAAGTTACATATACCCTGTTGAATTTTAGGCAAGCAGTTCAACAGTCTTGGGGACTGTGCTGTGTATCCACAAATTTAAGTTTTTTTTGGTTTTGTAATATTTCTCTCTTTCTCTTTTTTTCTTTTATTTTTGTTTTTGTTGTTGCTGTTTTCTTCAACTATAGAAACCTATGATGAAATATTTCCACAGGCTTCCAAATAATGTTTACCAATGGCCAAGTTCTTACGTATGACTAAACATTGGTGAAGATGTCCATCTGTGTAGACAACATAGATCAGGGTCAACATAGGTCTTTAAAATCCCACATCCCACCACTATTTCCGCAATCTGGAACATGTGACGTGTACATATTGCTGTCAATTTTACAACTTTGGAATCTGATCTGTCAACATGAGCAAATCCCATTCCTGCCAAACTAATTTTATTCTGCATCCTGCTATTAAAAGCCTTGTCATCCCATATCCCACCTTCATGTTCACTTTTAATCCTGCATCCTGGCAGACCTGTGTTGGGCCTTCAACATAGACTCTATCCCTCACATCACACAAAAACGAATACTACACATGGTTACCGGTATTTATGATCGAACGCTTGGATTTCGTTGGGTTTGAGATCTTGTTAACTTTACTTGATGTAGGGCAGTGTCAATCTTGTGACTGAGATCAGGCCTAATATCTAAGCGCATTAAGTGATGCTTGATCCTTGAAGGGGAGACTGACTCTAATATTTTTTTTTTCTTTTTAGATAATTGCTTTAATTTGTTCACACTGGAAAACTATGTCCAGCTAAATGTCAGTAAAGGTGGAAATTATAATTTTAACCAGCTTTTAATAGACACTAAGGATACTATGAAGGTTTTGTAAGTTTTTTGTTGGGTTGAATAGACAAAGTTCTAGGTTAACTGTATGTATCTCTGATTCACTTTATCTCATCTTGTTGTAAGGATGCTTTGTAATTAAGGGCTTTCTCGCTTGATCAGCTGATTATCAAACATTTTCTGGCATGAAAAGTATTGGCCTCAGAAGCAATACAAGCACAGTGCACCCTCTAGACCTCTTTTTTCCACTTACAAAGAAGCAGGTGATTAAAGAATGATAGCTGACACTGCCATTTACAATGCCATTAGTAAAAAATTAATTACCCTGTTGGTCATTGTTTGAGACAATTTTTATGACATAATGTAACTCGATTCCCACAGGCTATAGAAGCCTTAAAAAAATCCCCACAGGCCCCAGTTGTCCAAAGGTTGGAATACTGCTATCCACTGGATAAATCAATATTTGTGGATAAGTGTTAACAAAACAAACCTCCCTATCAGTCTGCTGGATAGTGATTTATCCATTGGATATCATTGGCCTTTCAAAACAACCCAGGTCTGTGGTGTAGTGGCTGCCTCTGGAATCAAAGTAAGCTATGTTACAATCAATACACATCCACGCGGGTGTCTGGAAAACCTGAATAGTGGCGAACAGTTGCGAATAGTGACAAATAGTCATTGATAGTCACCGCTTTAGTCCAGCACTGATCTGGATTTGTTGAAATTGATCACATGGAGCAAGATTCGACTAGGGCTAGCTAGATTTTTAGATGCTGAAGAGATTTTCTGGAGATTTTAAGAAGAATCTTGCATTAATTATCCAAATATTAAGCAACAGAATTTCAGTAAATTTATTACCTTATCTTCTCAGGACTCAGGCCAGGGCTGTCCATTGCCGACATCAAGAAAACACAAGGATAACCTAATAAAGACGTATTTACACTTTAACAGCGGCGAAAACAGAAATTACGTTTAGAAACACCTTGTCCTGATGAGCATCTACACTGTGAGGTTGACTGCAAGGTACTGGCTGGGTACCAAATTTTGTCATTGGTCACTATTTCCCTCCTCCCCCCCC